CATAATGTTCTTTTAGCAGCATCATATGACCCCTTTAAAGATTATACGCGTCCGGAGTTCCGATCTGAAATGATTCGCGAATCAACTTTGGAGGAAAATGTTGATGGTTAAACACAATCAAAATTGTGTAATTATTGTCTGATGAATATGCTAACATAAAAAAGCTCTCTTTATGAATATGTTAGCTACTAGCTATAAATAAAGACTTTCGATGACATGAAACTGTGGTCAAATGTCTATCATAAATGCAAAAACGTTGGGGTAGTTGGATGACAAAATCAAACCTATGCCCTAGCATTTTCTAATACATTGTTAAAATCCAAAGATGTGTCTGTTAATATTATTTAATGGACCTGACATAAAATAAACCAACAATTAACAGTTGTATTTTTATTATGTAAAGTTAACAAAGATAAAGTATAAATAGTGTAAAAAATGTATTGCTCATTGTTACTTAGTTACTTAATGCATTAATTAAACAACTAAAACTAATGGGACCTTATTGTAAAGTGTTACCATAATTTGTAATGAAACATTTTAAAATAGAAGCATCAGACTTATGGACCCCATTTTGTTGTTATGATCCCTATCGCCGGAAATCAGTCCGACTGTACTCCAGGGTCATATTAAACAAGTGTTAAGGGTTTGGTTTATGACCATCCAATTCAAATCCTAATTGCCAGGCCAAAGGACAATTATAATAGCGGTTATCCGAGAGGCTCCCGCGTCTTTGAAGAAATGCTACTCAGACAAAATTCCCAATTACACCCAGTTGTCCTGGGGCTCGGAAACAGGCAGCGCGTCCTCGAGACTGAAACGAGATCCCATTCTGCGGTAAGCCTGCGGTTTCTTTTTGTAGCTTCTATCTCTCCATTGGGTCAGACACCCCAAGTGTGAGGCTTACTCCAAAAGCACTGTTAAATGGGTGTAGAGTCGCCCTTCAGATTCACACTGAAGGAGTGCTTTCAAAGACACACTAGAGGATCCTTTTGAAGAGCGAGCGGCCCGAGGTTACTCATCCATGGACTCAATTAATCCTTTCAGAGTGGGGTACTCATACACAGACAGACTCAACAAAAAGTGTTTGCTCGCAAGAGGGTGCCCAGTGCAAGAAGACCGAGCCGTGTCATCACTCGACAACTGTCCATCATCTCAACATTTGCTTTCAAAGTGATTCAACAGGCCAAAAGACAAAGAAACACTTGAAAATATGAACGATTTGATCTTCCTCGGTTGACTTATTCATGCAGATATAGACATATTAACATGATTTTTTGGTCACATGAGTATTTGATTGACAACAAATCCTCATAATCTGCTTTTTTGTACAGAAAAAGGTACAGAAGTGACACATTGGAACAAAGGATCTTCTAGACTCCAACATTGTTCGGCTTGCGGCCCGAGCAGCTTGCATACAACTTCATGATTTAGAGCTCTCTCCTCTTGTACTCGATGAAGGACTAAAACCCCGAGGATATTTTTCCTCCTGCTTTTAGAGGAGCTGATGTTTCTTATAATTGTTCACTGAAGTGAATCAGCCACCACAAAACACTGCAGCACATTGAGACCACTAGCAGAGGGCACAGGGAAGGTGACGAAATCCTCTAAGCGCTTGTTGGGGCTTGTCTTTGCTGTCCCTTCTTCCCTAGAAAAGACCCCGAATGTACAAAGCAACTCAAACAAGAGCTCCCACTCTGAGCCTGCTGAATGCTCACTGAAAAAAAAAAGCTGCTGGTACATATCTGTGCGTTCTGCCAACTGTTTGGGGAATGAGCTTGCAGCTGCATTTTTTTTTCTGTCAGATTTGGAAGTGGCAACATTAGAAAACAATGCTGGAAAAAATGGTCAAAGCTTAACATGTATAATGCGCAAATAATTCCACAAATACAACACAAAACAACAGATGTTGATTATCAACCTCAAAAGGTTTACCAACTTTGGGACATGTTTAAATATAGTTACCCTATAATATTAGAACCCTGATTTGTGATTGTGTTACTTGTGATTGTAAAATAAAATAAAATAAATTAAGCTCACTCAATAGTGGTTAGCTAGTTTGGGACCAAACGTTGGTCTGTGGTTATTGATAAAATGAGGGTCACGCTTTATTTTAAGGTCCAATTCTCACTATTAACTAACTATTAGCAACAAAATTTGCCTCACTAAATTTCTAATTTGCTGCTTATTAATAGGATCTAAAGTATGGTCATGCAGAATAAGGCATTAATATGTGCTTTATACAAACAGGCAATATGCTATAATATACATGCTAGTTAATAGTTAGAATTGGCCCTTAAAATAAAATGTTACCAAAATGAGTTACTGATATAATTTATTATCTAACATATCTATTAATTCTTGTAACAAATACATGGGATTTGTGCATCTAATGGTTAAAAAACAAAAACAAAAAAAACATAGGTCATGGAAAGTGCCTCATATATTGCCAAATCTTAGTCAAGCGTTTGATTTATAGGAACATTCAAATATCACAAAGATTGTATTTTCCATGAAATTGGTGACATTTAATTGTTAGTATTCTTATAAAAGGGTTCAGTGTCTTACAACTTCATGAAAACCCAGCTTCAGCTTTTAGCTATGCAGGAAAATGGCCTTCAAAACCTTTTTTTATGAGTCTCAGCCATTTCCCAAAAACAAAATCATATCCATATCATTTGATCAAGATTTTTTTTCATTTATCCTAAATTGAACAATTAATTGCTACAAATATAAGCGATATTTGACTGATTTGGACATAAAGAGAGAGATTATCTTTAAGGAAATGAGAGGCATCTCCTTCATGACAGCGTTACTTCAGAGGTGTCCAGTTAAAAGCATGGATAATAAGATTACTCTTAAAGTCAAATCTCCCCAGAAGACACTTCTGATTGACTGATCCTCAGCCAGGCCTACATGCTTGCTCTCATAATCCTGTTTTACTCAAACTGTTTCCTGAAGATTCAAGTCAACACCTCAACCCTATTTATATAGTAGTTCTACCCTATTATTTGACCACCAACAATCTTGATATCGATGCCTCTGCATTTATTTTTACACACAGGGATTCAGTATAACCCAATGAAGATCTCAGCGGCTAAAAACATCTAGAAAATTCAAAACACTTAAGCACACATGAATGAAATTAATCAAAATGCGAGACTTTTTATAATATAAACTATAAAAAGAATTTGTTGCATATCAAAGTATCTGATAGTGACCGAAAACATGCCATAACACTAGCAAAAACCATTTGAGCATTAAATATAACAGAATTCAAAACACTTAAGCACACATGAATTAAATTAATCAAAATGCGAGACTTTTTATAATATAAACTATAAAAAGAATTTGTTGCATATCAAAGTATTTGATAGTGACCGAAAACATGCCATAACACTAGCAAAAACCATTTGAGCATTAAATATAACAGGCAATTCTATAGGAATAATATAGCAGTAATGAATTCAGTACAGTAGTAGTGCTTCATATATGGATGATCTATTTTAAAAATGGGGTCAAAAACAACTGATATCTTATTCATTGGAGAAACAATCAAAAAAGTTATTAAAATACAAAGAACAAAAAAAAAATCAGGGTAAGAACAGATTTATTTTGTTATGACCTTTATAGAACTGTACATGCCTTTAATAAATGCCTGTAAAGAGGAGTGAGAACGCTTTAGATTGTCAGAACATCATGTGCTGTATCTATACTGCCCTCTACTGTTACAGTCAAAACTCAAGAAACTGCCTTTACCCTTCTGATAATGTTCCTTCACTGCGTCTCCAAACACTGAGAAATATGAGAATGAATCAAATGATCTATATAAATAAATTAATAAATATAATACACTGTATACATATAAAAGATCTGGTCAAAGTCCCAGGAGAAGTGAAATGCACCCATACAGTAGTCATTTAATCAGTCTGCAGTCCAGGAATATCAATGTAAATGTTTTCTCTGCTAATTATATATTACAGAATGCACATGCTTTGCTTTACTTGTATTTCTTACTGTTATACAGATAACCTAATGTTACTGAGCCAAGAAATGTGTTTAAAAAAAAAAACAGTTATGAAATGGAACTGAAATGCAATTTCATCTTTAGGTACAAATAATACAATAAAATATAATAATGATAAAAAAAAAGATTTCGTTTTTTAAATGTTGAGAGGTCGGTCAGTTATAGTGTACAAATGTCAAACAAAAGTCAACAAATGCACATGCTAAAACAGATTTACCCAATTTATACAAAACAATTCAGTGACTGCTTTGGCACAATACTTTTTTAATTATATATTACAGAATGCACATGCTTTGCTTTACTTGTATTTCTTACTGTTATACAGATAACCTAATGTTACTGAGCCAAGAAATGTGTTTAAAAAAAAAAACAGTTATGAAATGGAACTGAAATGCAATTTCATCTTTAGGTACAAATAATACAATAAAATATAATAATGATAAAAAAAAAGATTTCGTTTTTTAAATGTTGAGAGGTCGGTCAGTTATAGTGTAACAAGTCAACAAATGCACATGCTAAAACAGATTTACCCAATTTATACAAAACAATTCAGTGACTGCTTTGGCACAATACTTTTTTTATGTTAATAAAATGATCAATTTAATACTGGATTCTTACTAGCAGACACACATGGCAATTTAATAACAGCTATTATTAACCTCACCTCTAAGCTCAGGTGAGGTTCTCATGCTGCTCTTCAGACTCTGGTTTCTTGCAGAACATCGTGGAGAGTTCCTGTAACAGCAGTTCCTGTTGGGGGCTGCATGATCTGTGGGACCTGTATCTACCTGGGACGTGCAGGGAGTCCTCCTGGCCCAGAGTGTCTGTTGATTCTCCAGAGGATAAGAGAGAGTGCACTGGGTTTAACCCAACCATGCGATCCAGGGAGGCGGCCTTCCTCTGTCCGAGGCTGACGGGCCGTGCTGGCACCTCCTGTGTCTCTGCGTGAGCGCTGGACAGGAAACTAGTTTTTTTTATGTTAATAAAATTATCAATTTAATACTGGATTCTTACTAGCCAATTTCAAACAGACACACATGGCAATTTAATAACAGCTATTATTAACCTCGCCTCTAAGCTCAGGTGAGGTTCTCATGCTGCTCTTCAGACTCTGGTTTCTTGCAGAACATCGTGGAGAGTTCCTGTAACAGCAGTTCCTGTTGGGGGCTGCATGATCTGTGTGACCTGTGCCTACGTGGGACATGCAGAGAGTCTGTGGGCTCCTCCTGACCCAGAGTGTCTATTGACTCGCCTGAGGATAAGAGAGCGTGCACAGGGTTTGACCCAACCATGCGATCCAGGGAGACGGCCTTCCTCTGTCCGAGGCTGACGGGCCGTGCTGGCACCTCCTGTGTCTCTGTGTGAGCACTGGACAGGAAACTAGTTTCCAAAGATTTGAGCACCTGCAGACCGAAGTCGCCCACCTCCTCATACAAAGGCTCTGAGCTTTCAATGTGCTCCTCAAACGAGTCCTGCTGCACCTTCATGGGCTGAGTAGGAAAAACAAAAAAGACAATGGGAAGGCATACCAGGAGGTCAAAAAGATATCTGTAGTGGATTTCAAATTACAACACTTGATTGCACGGGCCGAAGTCTTTAAACCAATAACACATGACAGGCCAGTCACTATAACACAGTTCTGAAATAGTTTTGACAACGGCTGAACTTAAATGAAAACAACAGCAATGTGATGATAAGAGAACCCGATATTCAATAAATAAATCTAGTGATAATAATCATATTTACTTATCACAAATAACGTCATTTGAACCTTGATAATAATAATAATATTAATAATGATAGTAATAATTGATTATTATTGTACACTACAACTATATTGTGTTTTATTCTAATAATAATAGTTGTGGTATACAATAATAATTATTATTATTACTATTATTGTTGTTATTTTATGACATTACATTTTTATGCAACTATATGAAACAAGAATAATATAGTGAATATACTATTACATAAATCTTATAATATTACACACACTTATTATTATATTGTTGTTGTTTTATAACATTTATGTTTTTATTAACTATATTAAATCAGCCATAATATAGTGAATATACTACTGCATAAACCTTATATTACACAATAATAATAATATAGTAACATAACTGTATTGTCTGCTATTGTTATTATTATTAAATAATTAATTATCTTAATTCATTATTAACTATAAATGAGTCATAATATATTATATTGAATATACTATTATAAGAACCTTATAATAATAATTATAATTTTATACTTTACTACGTTATGTGTTTATTATTATTAATTATTATTATTGTTGTTGTAGTAGGGCATTACATTTTTTATTAACTACAAAAAATTAGCTATAGTGAATATACCATTACATTACATTTAAAATTACATACAAAATTAACAACAATAAATGTTATAAATATTGTGTAATAAATAAATACATGCATACATACTATTTGCTATTTTACAACAGCTTTGAATGTATAGCTCAACCAATCAGACCAACCTATCAAGCTATCGGTTTATAAAATACAAGCATATGAGCTTGCAAACACAAATGTGTACGTCCAAAGCAAATCAGTATCCTGAACAAAGAAAATAAAAACTACGTCTCAACCATACGGGTGTTAGGTTCCCGAACACACTGGTGACTATTATCTCGTGAAAACACCTAATCTGCTAGATACCTGATTAGATGATCTACCATTATGCAAACAAAAGAAGTATTTGTGGTTAGCGGGACATACACAGTAAGGGATTCGCCCCTCAACAATGTTCAAAACAAATGACTTCCTTTTCTGAGTTTAAACTTTTGTCTCAGTATCAGAGAGACAACAACATCAAGATAATTGCCAAATACATTGAGGACAAAAGCATGAAGCCCACAGACAATTTGCTTGCGAAAGCTTTTGGGCCGGGACACACCAGAAGCTGCAGCATTTTCCCAAAACACAAGCCAGCTCCTTGCCCTCCCTCAAGGCTACAGATGCAGAACAATGCAGTCGAAGCTTTCTTCCTCCAAATGCATCCTGTCATATCAGGAAACCCTGGTTCCCAACAGGAATGGGGGGGAAGGACTGAGGAAGTCAAAGGGAATTCCTCCATTAAGTATAGGCTCTTTTGTAAAGCACACTCCTACATTTTTGAGTGCTTTTTAGACGCAAAAGTCATTTGATACATTCCAAACCTCCTACTTTTACATTTTGACCAGCCACTGTAATTTTGACTTATGGTGTTGAAAAAATGGCAACAGAACTTGTATGCAAAGGTGTGAAACTGAACATTAAAGGAATAGTTTACCCAAAGATGAAAATTTGCTGAAAATGTACTCACCCTCAGGCCATCCAAGATGTAGATGAGTTTGTTTCTTCATCTGAACAGA